TTGCTTGAACTGACAGTTACTAAAATGTACCTCCTGTAACATGTTGAATGGGATAAATGGGGAGCAAGCTTTCAATAATTATAAATTATTTATACACTGATTTTCCTTTTCTCAATTTTCATGGACCTGAAATCCCACCAGAGTGTTTACCACCCTCTACTATAAATTTTTCAATGAATGGGTCATAATCAACTCACAATCTGCCAGAAAGCACAGCAAAGGATTTCTCAATAGAAATTCCAATGAGAGGATGGAAACTATATTTCCTCTGTATGACATAAACATTTTGTAGGAGAGATTCTCAAACATTCAATACAAGTGAAAACAGCAAGCTGCATGGACAACTGATCTCAGCCAATTACAAAAAAAAGACTGCTCAGAAAAATATAAAGAAGGAGATCAAACAGAGCATTGCAAAATGAGTGCGAAGATATTGCGGTGTGATGGCCAGGTTATCATTGGAATTTTTGGTTCACTGGGAATTCCCTACAATGATGTGATGGATTCTTCTGCACTCCAGCTCCCTTGGTGTCCCAAAAAAATCAAAAAAAGAAAAATTAATCAGGAAATCAATCCAGAAAAAGTTGAAGCTGAAACATCAAGAAATTGTTGACGTGTAAAAATCAGGGCAAGACCAGAAATCATTATAGCTTGAGAAACGGTTCAGACCTGAAAAAAAATTAGGGAAAGACCCCCCTGTCCCGGGTTGACTAGATGTCGCCCACTGACGCCCCAATCAACTCCGGACAACTAGATGTTGCCCGAGTCAGCACACCAATGGAACTTTTGAGAGAACGACGTGGCGTATGAAACACCACCTTGTCCTTATCTCGAAGCAAAAATGAATTCCTGCAAACATAATAAATTATCATGATGTTGCCCGAGTCAGCACACCAATGGAACTTTTGAGAGAACGACGTGGCGTATGAAACACCACCTTGTCCTTATCTCGAAGCAAAAATGAATTCGACGTTTGTATTATTTAATAATTGTTATACGTTTGTCCTTTCCTTTTGTTCTAAGGTTTCTTTGGGTTGGTGTGGTCCCTATCGGAACCTCTATTACTAGAGGTTCTGAAATTCCACTTGTGTGAATTACAAAATCATGGGAATTAACAGGACCTGATCAAATAACAATCGGACACACTGGCAGAAAGCCTTGAGGAAACTTTCCACCAAAGGAGGACCTCAGCCTGTTCATATTTGTGTGAAGAAACTGTCACTTGTCTTCTGAGCTCCCCAGAGAACAGACTTGCTATTTTGTGTGCTGCAAAAATCATCATCAGATATTGTTGGAACTTTGAGGATCACATACACTGACATCAAGGTATTTACCTCAGGCCGCAAACGGCCAATTGTGTCTACATCATTTGCTTCACTAAAAACAAGCAGAGACATAAATACTTGCCAGAGAGGCTCAATAGCCCCTGAAACCCCCCAGGAAAGCAGGCACCTACAAAAACAAATCGAAGACCAGCCACTGGGGTGACTTGAGCTTTGGCATTCAGAAAAACCTATAGTTGTGCGGTTCACAAGGGAAAAGAGTTGAGTTTGATTTTTTGAGTTTGTTCTCATGAGTTTGGTTGTTTGGTATATTTTGGGCAACAATTACTAGTGACTGATGTCATCTGACTTTAGTACGTACAGACTCTAAACTCACAGGTAACTTTTATACAACGCTTTACTTTGAATTGAATTTTAAGTCGGGAAACACTAACTCCTGTCCTACCCTTTTGTCGCGACTAACTTTTGTAAAGAAAGGAATGTGTTTTTCTGTTCTCTACTTTGCCTGGGAATTCTGACTTCAAATTTCTTTGACATGCAGCCTATCTCTCTACAATAATACGGTCTACAACGAAATTCTGTGCACAACGAATTTCTTCTGGTACCCTGAATTTCGCTATATGGACAGAGACCACTTGTAATAACACAATCTTCAGGCACTACTGGCAGTAATTCATTTATTCTATTCAGTAAAACTTGGAGAACACTTTCTTGACACATGAGAAACTGGATGCCATCAACTGATGCACGCAGATTTGAGAATAAAATGCATAAATCGTGCACAAACAATAAAGCAAAAGGAATACGTTGTTGAATCTGGGAAATGGATCAATAATACTAATACTGTAATACTTTCAAGAAATGTCAATGTTTCTCTTTATATAACAAGCATCACTCGGATAGGCCTTCTGGAGTATGTACCCAACTGGTTCCAGGATGCTGTTCATGCTATCCAGCCATTGAGAACGTGAAATTGCAGCATTTGCTCCAATCTCCATCAATATAACCTATACATCAGGAACACAACAAATTTATACATGGTCTCAGGCTGTCCATGCTTCTTGAATTTTCTTTTCACCTTGATGTCAACAGAGTTCCAGTCCATGGACTTCATCACATACAACTCAATGAACTGTATATCCAAAGAGAGGAAATCTAATTTCGTGTGGTTTGTTGCTTTCAGGATGTCCATAAATGGGAAGCACAACCTGGGAACTACAGTGTAATTTGCATTCTTCACTGGATACCCTAGTTCTCCCATCAATGTTGCTGATGCGGGAAACTGCGGGTCCAAAGGCAGTGACATGTTGTACTAAAACCCATGGAAGAGACACATTTCTGTCACACAGTAGAAGCCCATCACAACAAACTTTTGGGGACTTCAGGAAAAGTTTCCTGAACTAGATCATTTTAAATGAAAAAATTTCACATCAGATCAGCCAATATATTAAATATTGCTGCTTTGGAATTTTTTTTATTTATTAGTTTGCACAACTGAAGGATCTAAAGAAGAATAAAAAACGCTTTAATCATGCATTCCATCAGTATATAATTGAATCTAGAAGAATGCTCTGCGGAAACAGTTGGAAGCAATCTTTGTTATTGATTACAATTTGCATCAATTCTACAAGAACCAGCAGTCAGTCACATTTGGAATCAGAACTTTTAGACTGTGCCAGTCATATTTAGAAAATGTCTGCCAAGAGAATCTAATAAAAAGTTTGTTGCACTGGAATTGAGCAGTTTGTTTTGAGATTCTTTTAACATGCATTCCACAGGCTTCCTGCTGGGATTTGAGAAGAGTTCATCATGATGAAAAAAGGTTATAACTGTATTGGTTGTAACAAGATTCAACTGTACTTGATGTGTTTTGGAATATGTCTGTGATTGGTGATTTTCTTCTGAATTTTCAGCAGTGCTAATTTGGCAGATCCAAGATCTTTAACCAGTTTAAGACGTTTAACCTCTGTTTGTCAAATCTGAAGGGACTCAAAAAAATCATCATGAAAAAACTTTTCGAGCAACAACCGTTCCACGTTGTTTGCTTGGAGCAATGCAGGTGTTGATCATGATGGCTTTCCTATTTGTTTTGAGCACGGACTTGAAAAGATCTGGTCGGTCTTCAATGAGGACACCAGTCCAACCATTGAGCAGTTCTAGACCCAGTGTATTAGAGGATTTGATTCCATCAAATGCACCTGCCTCAAGAAACACTCCATTTCTCTGTTGAGGAAAGTTTGATGCAAGAAAATGAAATTGGTTTCCTTGTTCTCGACTGTTAGCGGTGAGAAAAAAATCCATATTGTTTTTCCTTCGAATCAAAGAATTTCTCAAAATGCATTTTAAAGCGTAGTAACTTGTTTAACCAATTAAAAATGAGGTATTTGTGCACCATGGGTTCATTAATGTGTGATTGGAATTCGCAGTGTAAATATAAATCTTACATTTTATGATCATTTTTCTTACACATGCTTAAATTCTAAGAAGGTTCAATTCTTCTATTGTGAAGGTAGTGATACAAGAAAGAAATTGTTCAAAATACAAGCAAGATAATAGGTCATTAATTACGCAGGTACAAAACAAAGATTGCGCATATCTTTCCTCTCTTGAAGCAATTATTTTTACTCCACAGAAAATCCCACAAAAAATTAAGACAATTCTTTCCGGCGTTTCGCGCTTCAACTTGAAGAAAATTGAGCAAATCTTCAAACAAAAAACTGGATCCAAAAAGATACATACCTTCCCATTGAAAATCTTGTTGACGACATCATAAAAACTGGAACCTTTATTTGTCTTATTATAAGGAAATTCTCCCCTTTCTCCTCGTCTATTTTCAATCATCATGGCACGCACAATTTGGATGTTGCATGACTCTCGCGAATTCTTACTGAAATATTCTCGGAGACTTCCGAAATTCCATATGAACACGAAAAACAAACAGACCGCGTAGAATACAGCCTTATTTTGGTTGTTTATCAAACTCATCCTGGAAGATAAGACGTGACATGGATTTTGTTTTCCAGCATTCATTCCATCTTCAAAGAGATATGTTACTGCACTTACTCCAATGCCACAAGACAGTCAGCCAAATTTTTCGCCCGAAAATCTATTCCGTTGTAAGACCAACAACACAGTATTTTTTTCTGTTGCTGAAGATCAGGAATTTCAAAATCTTTACGTGTGTAGATCCATTTTCCCTATTGACATTCTGAGTTTCTTATTTCACACTTTCTTTTCTGATTTTTCTTTTACTGGAACAGTTAAAATGTCCTTACAAGATACGTCAGCTTTCTCAAATAGATGGCTACTTTCCCCTTCCTTCACTTCCTGTTGCATATCCAACTGATATGTGATGTGAGACACAGAGAACTCGTTCGTTAAAATCCGAAAAATAGATGTAACTTAATAATACAAAAAACTTGAATTCAAGGAATGCGACAGCGGGAAATCCCGATGGAAGTGCCCGCTGCCGCAAATTGCGCAATTGTAAATCTTTTCTTTTCCGCGATGAATTATTTTGGCACTACGTTGTCGATCTTCGAAGCATTGGGATGTGCGAATCTTGCTTCGTGCTTTGAACTTGTGATTTTGCGTCTATCTTTGTCAAGCCTTGTGGGTTTTAAACTCTTTATCATCTTCTTGAATTCGAAATATATTTTTATCCTTTCCTTTTGAAGATTCCACCGAGAATCTTCACGCCATATTCCCCGGCGGATCGTGCATTTTTATTCCTTTTAAATTCCCGAATTTCTTTGAGGGCTGATTGCCCTACAAAATTGGTAGCAGAGTGTGGTTTAAATTAAAAAAGAAAGATCTTTAAATAAACGCTTATCTTCTATCATATCGTATCTAAAACCCAATTTAATAAGTTAAAATTAAAAATTTCCTTGCTTCCGTTCGGCTTCGTTTTGTTAAGAAATAAAGTAATAGAAGTCGTGTAATTTCTATCTTTAATACTAAAACTAAGTTTAAATCCTTTAAATTCATCCCTCATCAATTTATCAAGTGCATCAGAGAATCTCCGTCAAGTCATCGCCAACGAGACTACATCAGCGCCGGATTAAGACATCGCCTACATCAAAAAACAACAAACAACATCAAAATGGTAAAAGGAGCCAGAGGAGGTTCCAGAGGTGGGAAAACAGCTAGAACCGTGAGTGAAGCTACTAATTTTGATGAAACTGAATCGGTACCCAAACCCATACCTTCCCAGTCTACCCGTACTAATACCATTACTACAAACGTTATCAAACCAATGGAAATTGAAACATCCCTTACTCTGGAAACCAATACTAATACAGAACAAAATTCTGTGGAAACTCCTCCATGTTCGTCCCTAACTCAATGTCCTGCCAACGCTCCACCCGATACATTTCAACATCGAACCGGTATTAAAGCCTTAATGATAAGCATCATTCTTCGCATTGCTCAAACTATTAAAAAAGGCGACAAGGTTTATCAACAAATCACCGATCCAAATAGAATCCGCGAATTTGAAACTATACAACAATCGTTTTCTGAATTTACAACAATGATGCTTACCTACGATAAGGATGAATTGGACGAAGAAAATAAAAGAAAAATGGAGACTCTTCAAGAAGAAATCATTAACATCGCTGTCGTCCCTATCGAAGATTTAATTGGAAATTGGACTACACTTCGCCCCACTTCACAAACAATTCTTGGGTTACGACTCCCATCCCCCTTAACCGTAAATCAACAATTGTTAAATACAACAAGTACTACTAGCGGATTTTCATCATTCAATACCGAACCCTCTCAATCAAACATACAATCCTCAAATTTGATGAATTTTCCTTCGGCTCTGAACACACAAAACTCTTCCTCGACTACTTACCCGTCATCTCTCCAAATACCTATTCAACAACACAATCATGCCTCTTCCTCACTCAATTATAGTGCTTTGAATCCAACTAGCAACTTACTTGCAAGTCACTCTTCACAACACAACACCACGCAATTATCATCTATCCATAAAGAACAAAGTTCTTCTTCCTCCACAAAGAATAATAAATTAAAATATCTCGGAATGAGTGATACCAACGCTAAAAATTCATTTAAAGAAGAAATAAAATCCTATGGTCTTGGAAATCCCATAGATATTGGAAGTCAAGGATCTGCATCCTTTGCAAAAAGTTACTATGATCTTCTTCAATCCTCCTTTACAAAATTCAGTGGAGACAAAGATGAAGAACAAACCTTTGAACGTGTATGGACGCAATTTAAACCCATTCATGAAGCTCCTAAACATCAACTAAAACCAAGAGAAAGAATTAATCTTTTTATAATGCACTTTGAAGGTAAGGCTAAACGTTCTTGTATCCAATATCAGGGTAGAAACACTGACAACGATTACATAGGAATGTTACACACAATGTTTGATGATTATGGAAATGTCCACAATTTAAAAGATCAATTAATAAAGGAAATCGAAAATCTCCCCTCACCAAATGGTACCTTTGAGGAAGCAGCAGCGTACATGACACAAGTAATCGAAAGGGTCCTTTGCTTGAATAATTTATGCATGACTCAGAAGGAAACTCATGCAAGAATTTGGCCATCCATATTAGAACATCTCAAACACCAAACTTTCCTTGATGTTTTAGCAAATTCTATGTGTTTATCTGATGACGTTACGGAAGAAATGCTTGA